GCGTGTGGTTCAGCAGTAGGGATTGATCTACGCTTAAGCAAGGTTAGGAGTTCGAATCCTGCCTTATGTATGCAGTCGCGTGATTAAGAAATGAACAATATCTTTAGGTCTCAACTTATATAATGACATTCCTTATTTTTTTATTGTGTCTCCTCAAGTCAAGGTTGCATTCATATATACATTTACTCTTATTTTCTTATTATCTTTTCACTTATTTATGAAATATCCATTATTTATCTTTTATTCTTTAATTTTAATTATAGGATATTCTTATATTATATTTTTAATTCAATTATATATAAACCTTTTCAAATTATGTTTAATTTATTTTTGCAACAATTTTTAATGCATTTTTCTCTTTATACTATTATCTTTTCATATGTTATTCGTTTCTTACTTTCTTTATTTCCTTATATTCATTTTATATGTAAACTCTTGTAACATTTCCAATGTTTTCTTTATTTCTCTCAATTTATTTTTATTTTCTTACAATTGTTATCCTATTTATTTATTTATACTACTCCTTGGGCGATATTTATTTGATATAAAAATTTTCATCACTAGACAACGCAACTAGTGTTTAGCCATATTAATTAATAAATTAGATTATATTTTCATGAAAAAACTTCTTTCCAATTAATATGAAACTTTTTGTCCTATACCAACATGTAGTAATATAGCATTCGCTATCTCTTTTACTGTAATCTTTAATGCTGCGTTCTTAGCGCTCATATACATCTATATATATGCTTTAATTAGATGTTGTTTTCGGATGCTTACTAGACAAAGTCTTATTAATTTTAAAAAAAATAAAATTCACATAGCATACACGTTTTTATGTTTCTTTTGAGGTTTTATAGGTGTTTGTTTACCTCGAGTTGTGACATTAGTTTCCTTTCAATAAAATTAACATAAATTTTTGTTTTATATATACGTGTTTCCCACAAATGTATATATGTATTTATGTACGATAGTAATATCTTTCTATAGTGTTATACAAAATTAAACACACTTGTATTATTTTGAAATCTTTAAAAGATTGGGATATCTTGATGCAATTCAAAAATATTAATTTAATTATTAATTAACACATTCATAGAGAATCATTGGAAGGTATTGGGCATGAGTTGAAAAGAATGTTTAAATTAAATATGTAATGGATGTTGTGGAATAATGGGAAGGAAAGCAAGCAGATATGGCGTGAAAGGAACAGAAAAGGAAATGAGGATCCTAAACTGGATGATGGCCAAAACCCGCCCATAATCTCAGAACTGCTCACAACTTGTGACAAAGACTTATGGACTATACTCACCACTCACCAAAGCCATTCATGCTTATACTCACCACTCCATAGCCATTCATTCATGTGACGCACTGCATACAAAATAACAAAATTACTCACATAATGACAATAAATAACAAATATATTTTTTATTTTATTTAAAAATAAAATAAATCTTTTATTATATATAGTATGCCAACGTGTCTTCATTGATAAAGTGATGAATTTAAATATTGATGAAAAGGAGAATATTATGTTAAATATATGATCCATCAGATTCTTTAACAAATGTTAATTACGGATAAAATTAGTAGAGTCTGGTCACTTCAAAAGAAATCGTGTATGCCATGATTTTGGACTATCAAAATAAAATCTATCATTAAGTTAATATTTAGATATTTTAAAAAAAAATTATATTCACTAATTAGACTAAAATAATAAGCTGTTGTAATTATTAATGATATGTTTAGAAGACTTATTTAGTTAAAAAAAACTTTTAGAAGACTAATACAATGACACATATATTAACACTTAATTTGAATATGATTAAATTTTTCAAAGTAATTATATTTTAAAAAATATTTTTTAGATAATAAAAAGAAAATATATTAATCATTTCTTTCAAATACACAATATTTAAGGAAATAGTTTCTTTCTTTTAGTGAACTTATTATGTTATAAGTTATAACACCAAAATGCATGAAAATTGATTTCACTATTATTGATAAATACATAAGGTGGAAAGAGTTTAAATATTAATGAATTTGAATATTAACCATTCATTTAAATTACACATTAAAATCATACTCTCATCTTTTACATGATAAATTTCCTCCCTCCTCATAAATACCCCCATATAGGTGTTATATTCCATACCTTCCTTCCTTCATCTTCTTTTCTCATACTCTCTATCTCCCTAGTTCTCTATTTTTCTTCTCTCATATAATAACCCCCATAGTTTACCAACTCAATAACCACCTTAATTTTCTTCTTTCACCTCCTTGAGTTCCCATTCATTGATCGATTCATTCAATTATAGGATCAAATATGGTGGCTGCTTCCCCAAAATCCATAAGGAGCGAAAAGATTTTACCCATTGAACTTCCCGTGGTGGACCTATCTGCGGAAAGATCCATGGTGACAAAACTCATCGTGAAGGCTTGTGAGGACTATGGTTTCTTCAACGTGGTTAACCATGGTGTCCCTCGTGACACCATAGCCAAAATGGAAGAAGCAGGCTTCGATTTCTTTGCCAAACCAATGGCCCAAAAGAAACAGCTTCCTCCTTATGGCTGCAAGAACATAGGCTTCAATGGAGACATGGGCGAGGTCGAGTACCTTCTACTCGCTGCCACTCCTCACTCCATTGCTCACTTCAAAAACATCTCCAATGTGCCATCAAACTTCAGGTACGTCTACTCTTTCTACGTATTTCTAATTCTATCGGTAAGAATACCAAAAGGTTGCAATAACTCATTCTACACGCTTAATGTCATTATCCAACACTTTCACATTTATTTGCATTTTGCTTTTTTGTATACAATAATATATATCAATGGGAATACAATCTAGAACTTTTTGTAATCTATCTGGATTTTAATTTCACTACAGTTGATTCTAGTTGTTCATTTTTTTTCTTATTTGCATGTTTAGTTTGCTACATCATCATACTTCTCCTTTAATTTTGTCTTCTAGTTCAATTCAAGATGAATTCTTAATCTTAAAAGAATTGTGATATTAATAAAAATATTCAGCACACTGATGTCATTAACCTAAATTCAAAAACACTTATAAATATGATAAGTAATATAATATAAAAATAAAAATAAAAAATTAAAGATGTTAATTGGGTATATTTTATTTTATACATATAGGTAGTACGTACTAGTCTTGAAATAAATTGAATGCCTTATACCAATTCGAGCAGGATTTTTTCTCAAATGAAAAATATAGGTAGTCTCTACTTAAAAGAAAATAATAAATGTGGCGTTGGAGTTTTAATTTCATTTCATTTTTTATTGCACTTTTTTTGTGATGATGTGGCCAAACGATGGACAAGAACTGCAGTATAAGAAAAGTAACAGTTGGGGGGTGACAAGGTTGTGAGTCATGAATAAGTAAGATACGAAAAATAATGGATACACGCGTCTCTCTTTACACAATCATCTAAATAAAATAACAAGTGGGGCTATAATTTTTTCTCAGGTTACTTTACATTACACGCACCAAATTTTTCCGTCCCCCATTTTTTGATTGAAATTATTTGCCAAGGGAGATTTATGCGAAAGTGTAATTATCATTATCATTGTCAAAACATGCAAGATGCTATATGAAGTAAGAAAAAAATCGTATTCTGTAATCTGTAATATGAATATAACCTTAATTATAACATATAATTCAGACAAGAATATATATTAACATCACAAAAGGAAAAAAAAAAAGTTTACACGGGAACTGAAGCACCCGATAAATTATTATTCATTTAGTAGGATATTTGCTGTTGATATATGGACCAGGCTAGCTAATAGTATGTTCTTGCTAGCTTCAGTAGTGAATATCTCAGACTAAGACTTGAAGGATTTTTATAAATATTTATTTATTTACTTACTATTTAATTTTTTTAATATATTGTTCAATATATTGTTTATAAATAAAAGTGTTTATTTTTGTATGTGTATTCCTTTCACATGAAATGGAGTGTAATACTTTGTTATTTTGCTGGCTTGAAACTACGTACCTTCCTATGAGTTGTATCTGACCAACGTTATTCCCTCTGTGAGTGATGCCAGCACGTTGCTAGTGGTCCTTCAATCTGCATTATCATACAATTTGAGCTTGTCCCTCATTCTATTTTCAACTCTACCTGCAAAATAGTAACTGTGTATTTCGTTTCAAAGGATTACAATTTATTTTACTTTCAGTTCGATGTGATTTTAGTAAAATAATATAAATGTTTGGTTATATTATTTTGGGCACCCCATTTTAACAACATTTTGTTATTGAGTTAGAAAAATTACATTAACTTTTACATTAAACTTGCTTTCAACTAAGGCAAAAGTATCCTAATGTAAATTATTTTGTTTCGGAATCTTTTTTAAACCAAAATTAATTTAATACAAACTAATTTTGTATTATTGCATAAACTAGAATTGAAAGAAATATATGTTAAGAACAAAGATATACGAGATTGTGTTAAAATATAAGTTGAGAAGTTTAAGGTAAAATACAAAGTTATTCTTTGGGTTAAGGGTACAATAGAAAGAAAAGAAATGAGAAAAAAAAAATAATAAGAAGGATAAAACGTAGAAACGGAATATAGTGTGTTCTTTGAATCCATAGAAATAAGGGGGGAAATATTTTTTTTTTCCTCTACTTGGTTTGAATGAGGAAAATGATATAGATAAATTATATAAAAAATTATACTAATTAAAAAATTTAGTTTTCCACTCTATTATTTTCTCTTAAATAAATTATTTTTAAAATTTTTAATTTCCATGTTAAAAATTATTTATTTTTTAGAAATTAAAACGCAAAATACCAGTTTCCTTATAAACTTCAAGGAATTGGTTGAGTGGACTGGCATATCAAATTTTATGCCTCCACTCAGGTTTTGAGCTCAGAGCGTTCTTTGAAACATAGGCTTTCTCCTTTCCTAAATTTTCACCTGCAAATGTCTTTTCCTTATTCCAATTCATGCTGTTTAGAGGTGAAATGGGTTCTATGAAAATAACTTTTCCTCTTATTTATCTTCTCACACAAAGTGTGAAAATTTACTATATTTTTTTTATCTCTATATTGATCTTTTTCCCACTCCTTTCAATTCAAACAACCATAATGGTAGATAACAAAAAATTATTATATAGTTAAAGATCACCACATACAACTAGTGGTTAATCTACGAAGTCCATATATATTAAGAAAGTAAAAAACACACACATATATATATATATATATATATATTATTTTTAAAAATGATAGTATCATGCAATTAAGTGTGAGCAATGTTCTTAAACATTTTAAAGAACACCCAAAAAATTAAATTAAGATACAATTAAGTTAATCAATATCCCCTGAATTAAACAAAAACACTTTAATTAAAAAAAAAACAGAAATGAATTGATAAAGAGTTACTTTAAACATTTAAAATTATTGTTTTCCTGAAAGAAATGTAAACCAAAATTTTCATTTTTATATTTTCCTTTCTTGGTTTGTTATTTGCTTATTAGTCAACTTGCCTGTTCCATTTTGAATGGATGAATAATGAATTAATGAGCGGGTTTTCTACCCTTGATCAACAATTTTTTTAATAAACTCAAAAGTGAAAATTATGGAAAATGATAGAGACGGAGTTAATGCGAGGATTTATGCAGCATACTTATTATTTAATTGAATATTATATTTATATTCTTTCTAGACTTATATCTAGAAGGATATAATATTAAATAATTACGTAGACTTCAATGTAGTAATGCAACAATTTAATACTCCACCTGTTTCGTGTTACATGTTACTTTAAGAATTTTGATTTGTTTCAATGATATTTTACCCTTATGACAAACGATATCCTTATTGTTACTTCTAAATCTTAATTAATTCATAACTATATATGTTTATTTTGCACATATATTAACAATATTCTCTATTTTTTATTCAGATTAGTCATTTATAGATTTATAATAATATCTTTTATTTATGTTATTATGATCTTATTTTTAGATGATATAAAATATTTAACATTATTGAAAAAAGTTTATATTATTTTCACACAATCTATTTTATAATTATTTATATATATGTGTATATTTTTATTTAATTTTTTAAATTATAAAAAAGAAATACAAGGATAAAAGTTGTGTTAAAAAGATAAAAATAGGGGATGCACGTGAGATTTGAAGTCATTCATGTTGCACATGGAAAAGCAATAGGTACTCCTAGGAGGTGGGATTTCATGTCAGAGATACTCTTTCAAAGTCATGTCAACATGTACAGTGATGAGTTGATTTATTCACTCATGGCTGTGATTAATTTGGGGAAAAGGGAGAATCAAATAGGAAGGTCAGAAAAAGTTTCTGTTGATTGGGTTTCAGATTGACACATATGTATCTCAAATAAATCTAACGGCCAATCAAATCAAAACTGAAAGGTGAATTCTTATGAACAAGTTCGTTATTAATTAATTTTTCTTGCCAAACTCAGAAATAAAATATAAAGCATATGATGTCAGTGAAGTGTCTGGTCAACCAGACCCATACTGGTGGCTCTACCATGATGCAGATCAAAAGCCCCCCTTCTACCATTACTGTCACCTACCTCTCGATTCGTCAAGTAGCTGTTATCATGCCAATATAAAACGGAATATACAAAATAATAATAATTATTATTATTATTATCTTAGTGCATAAGCAACTTATTAGTGAGTTTTACATATAAGATGATTGTCTTTAATTTAAGATTTGATATATCACTAATTGACACGAAGACTTGAAAAATAATTGATATATATATATTGTAATTGAAATAATAGTAATATAATGTGACCGAAGGAAAACATAGTAATTATATCTTGATATTTTACTAGAATATTTTCCATGCAAGTTCTTAAGGGGATTTTAAATTAAAATTATGTTCTTACTATAAGTTCTCTCATTGGATAAAGTAGAGCTATCTTTATATGCTACAAACTGTGATCTTACATATAAGAAGGAGAAAAAAAAAAGAATTGATACATTGAAGTAAAATATAAGGATTCTTAAATCTAATAGGGAAATAATGAGCCTATATAGAAAGTAAAACAAGAACCTAATTTGGATTATGACCTTAGTTTAAATACTCTTTTGATACTCATTCTTTTTTTTTTTTTTTATTTGTTTATCTTATATATTATATTTACATTTTTCTTCTCTCTTTCTTATGTCTTTGTTACGTTACGTGTTATATTTACACTTTTTATTAATCTTTTTTTTTTCTCTAAGTGTCTGCGGTAAAGAATGTTTATGCACTTTTTTAAGGATTTATATATTATAATTATTATCCACTCTCTCTTTCATTTCACTTTTATCTCATTTTTTTTCTTATATTTTCTTTACTTTTCATCACATAATGTATCACATCTATTATTATTTTTTCTTTCTTTTTTCTCTCCGTTTATGTTTTCTTTTCATCACACATCTCAAAAAAGGAGTACACCATCAACATTTCCTTTCTATTGAAAAAATGAAGTGAAATGTATATGTTAAAGGAAGCTTATTCGGTCTAAATATGACAATGAGTATTCAAAATAAATAAAATTATTGCCAAGTTGTCTTAATATTTTATTCGGTGTGTAACTTTAGTTGGTAGATAGGTTCATTAATTGCCAATATTTGGCCATAAACCAGGACATACAAACCCATACTTCTGGAAGCATTTATACACACATATACACATATAGCAAAAACACATAGCTAAGTGTGTTTGGTTCTGATGTGTGTGACTGTGCAATTGTACATGACAGCTCTACTGTGAGTGCATACACAGAAGGTGTGAGGGAGTTGGCATGTGAGATTTTGGAGCTAATGGCAGAGGGTCTGGGGGTCCCTGACGCAAGGGCTTTCAGCAGGTTGATCAGGGATGTTGATAGTGACTCAGTCCTTAGGTTCAATCACTACCCTCCTATACTTAACAAAGACTGCAAGGACAAGGACAAGGACAAGTCCCCTTCCCACAGCCACACCAAGGTTGGCTTTGGGGACCATTCTGACCCTCAGATCCTTACCATCCTCAGATCCAACGATGTTCCTGGCCTCCAAATCTCTCTCCAAGATGGCGTGTGGAACCCAGTTGCTCCTGACCCTCAAGCTTTCTGTGTTAATGTGGGTGATCTTTTACAGGTATATATGTTCTTATCCCACTCTTCATTGCCCCACAACCTGGTTTCATTTTCCTCACCACCACTGGGGGGCCTCACCTCACCTCACACAGATAACTCAATTGACATGGGAATCACTATAATGTCACTGCAATTTTGGATACACTGTCATTAAGATTTATTAATATAGATCCACTCAAAACTACCTAATAGTACGTACGACCAAACGATAAGTGAGACCTAAAATGAAAAAAATTACATGTTAAGTCTTTTATGAATACACGTGATGTCTTAATTTCCTTTATTAAAAAAAAACTAATATAACAAATATTGTTTTTTGTTAACGAATCTAAAATTTGAGTTTTGGTGGCATTACTCTTAAGTTGGTTCTACCGTGTAGAATAAACGATGTACTAGGGTTAGGGTCATGATAAGTTATTGCTTACATAAGTTTTGCATTTAAAAAACATTTTTAGACACCCATAAGATGTAAACACCTTGAAGAAGATAGAAAAAACAGAGAGAGAAATAAATAATAGATATAAGCGGTGATGTGATATAACAAAATCAGAGGGATAAAAAAAAAAAAGTGTCACTAGAGTGGTTATAAATTTTAGTGTCTAAATAAATGTATGCATACACAAACATACAAAATATATATATAGTACATGCTGAGTTGTAATGGACTTGGATATCTCACTTTCTCTGGACACAAATTTTCATTTTTTTTTATTTAAAAAACATAGATATATGTCATGTTGCACAGGACAACCGACATGTTATGTGCAACGAAGAACTGCTTAAGAATGGGATGGAATGAAAACCGATTCCGGGGATTTGGGGTTGAACAATTAAGGGTTGGTGACAATCAGTTAGGTTTGTTATTTGTGTGCAAGTGGATGATACAAAAAAGGGAAGTGATTGATTTTGATTGTTGTGTTTGTGTGTGATGTCTAAGGTGATGACAAATGGAAGATTTGTGAGCGTGAGACATAGGGCCGTGACCAACTCATACAAGTGTAGAATGTCGGTGGCATATTTCGGGGCTCCACCACTCGATGCATGCATTGTTGCACCCTCAGTTATGGTTACGCCTCAGAGGCCCTCACTCTTCAAAACCTTTACTTGGGCTGAATACAAGAAAGTTACGTACTCTATGAGGCTCGGGGAACGCCGCATCGACCTTTTCAGGAAGTAGAGTGCTAGGTTCTTCAACAGTGCTCAAAAGTGCACTTGCTAGTAATTAATACTACCATACTCTAAAGGTTTTGTTGCCCTTGTGACTTGTGAGGTGGTACTGGTATATGCTTTGCCAAAATGTGCAAACAAGTTTTGGGTTGCGTCAAACTCGGCAAATTAACTTTATAAGGAAAATAAACAAGAAAAAAAAAAGTTTTTGTTGATGGGTAATTGTGTTTGAGTTTCTTTGTGTCCGGGGTTGTTGTTTGTTGTTGTGATTATAAGGGGATGGAGTTTGGTTCTAACTTCTAAGTTATTATCAAAATGTTCTCAAAAGATTGATACCATGTGTGAGAATGCTTTTATTTCATGGAATGATGTTATCGAAGATCAAGATTATCGGGTCAAAATGTTCTCAAGTAAAAATGTGCTCACTGACTGCCATACGTGGAGACTCAATCGATAGGCATTGATATTTTACACGAGAAAATGTAGAATTCCTAACATCTTTTACAAAATTAGAATTTTATACAAGTTCTTAATAATAGCATGGAATTTTTTTTTTTAATATTCGGATAGAAATGGATAAATGTCCCATACGTATAATGAGTATTTTGACTATTAATTTTCAAATATAAATAAAAAATAATTGATAAAATTTATTTAAATGGTAATCATAAGTTAAATTAAATATTTAAAAAATGTTTCAAAATTTTAATTTTAAAAAACTAAAATTAAAGCAATTGATGATATATATATATATATATATATATATATATATAT